ACTATATCTTCCTTCACTAGAGAGAATAACTACAAATGAAGGGGCATTCAGATTACTCGTTTCTCAAGCTTCCAAATCATATATAAACTTCGAAAAAAAAACCTTCTTGTCTGAAAAAATGCTTACCCAGAATTGGCTGATATTGTAGCTGGGTAAAATTGCTCGTATCTCGCTTCACAAAGAAGCTAGAAAAAAAGAGACGGTCTACATCGATTCCTCGTGTTCTTAGCTATCGAATGGCATACAAAGTTTTGGTGCATAAAGCTTTCCCATTCCTAAAAAGTCTTGCTCCGGCTACCCATAGAAAGCCGGAGCAGGGTGGTGCAAGTTAGTATTGAATATCTCCACCTCAATTTTAAAAAACCACGAGTTTTTTCACCCAACAACTTATATACCATTAGAAAGCTCACGAAACAAGAATTCGACATAGACCGTCTCTTTTTTCTAGCTCCCCTCTACTCAGAGATACATGGCATTTTAGCTGAAAACATATGTGTTTTTGTCAAGAAATTCCTGCGTGAAGAACGAATGGAGGTGCCTGATTTTCTAGCAGTAGCACAGAGCAAGACCTTGCCAGCAAACGTTGACCGTCTCTTTTTTTCTAGCTCTTCTCTTTCTCTCAGAAAGCGCAAAGTGATTGCATAAAATCAGTTGATGCTGAAGCTAGATATGATTTCTAATATGTGTTTTCGCAGGAGAGCTGGAAAAATAAGAGACGGTCTACGTCGATTCTACATGTCTCAAGCTTTCGAATGGTATGTCGACTGATGAAACACAAAGCTTTCCCGAGTCAAAAAGTTTCTGTTAGATGACCTTCGAAGGCCTAAGCATTGAGAAAATCTTCATTTTACACCTCTATACCGCTTATTTTCCTTCTTTTCACTCCCGCTACCGTTAGGCATGCAAGCTTGCGTCAGCATTCATCTTAAGACTCAGTTCCTTCACTTTTCTAGGTCGGAAATAGCCAAAACCCCCTTCATCTGGAGAGGACCCTGCTCCCCCTATCGCACCTATGGCGCACACAGTCAAGACGCAGAGTCTTTGTGGGACCCTACGTCTTGACTGTGTGCACTATGCGCACTCTGGCTCAACGAACTAAGTTGTCCCGGTCGCCGGGGCATTCCGGTCGCCACTTCTGAAGCGGATTTCTCGCTTCGGAAGTGGGCAAGAGCCTTACCAGGAAGGGCGCCCCTACTCTAGACTTTCGTATCTACCCGGGCGCTGTCTTTAGTAATGTCCATTTAGATAATCAGTAAAACTTTGAAAACTTTTTGTTGACTTCGAAGAAAGGAAAATGACTTCGAAGAAGCGACGGTCGGCCGCCGAGGATCACCAGGGGATTATACAAAAAGCTGGAAATTGCGGCTTGTACAGCGCTTCTTGCTTCCTGTTCGATATGTTCATAGTGAAGGATGGTGGGAACAAATACAACGTGAGTAAAGCTTTCTTTTAAGCTGCGGCCCCCGCGGTGGTGATGTTAATGCATGCAGCCCCTAGAAAGTACTTCGCAATGATGCAATGATATATCTCAAACAGCTACTGTTTTCGTGATCATCAGGCTCAATTACCCTCCTGCTTATGTCCCATTCCCAGCTAAACATTGCTGCTAAGTCGATAGATCGATATCTATCGATAGTGAAAGGTAGGCAAAATTATTCTGTATGGTCCATAAATGGGTTTACTCGATTCTACTTTGCTCAGATAAACGTCGGATTTCTGCCTCGTATACAAAATAGAATTGTGAATGGATGAATGATCTCCGACCTCCGTGAATGTCAGAAAAGGTAATAGTTAATGCACGATAAAGCACGAGAATTCTGCGAAAATAAATAAATCATATCAACTGCTGCTGTATTACATTATATCTGATTTTATATAGACACTTCTGCTGCCGGCGCCACCAGCTTGCCTTTTCATTTATGCACAGAAGTTCCTACTGTATGTAGCTTATTCCGCGTCTTGCTTCCCGATAGAGCAGTGTTGTGATTCTCGTAGTAACAAAACGAAGATATTATCATTTTCCATGACAATGGGTGCCCTTCCTTTGAGTTTTTACTTGTTCTTGTATCTTTTTTGGTATATCTTATTGACCCTTCAAAAAATTTTGCTCCTTTTTTCTGGGATCTGACCTCAGCTCACAGGCTCGGTGGCCTCCAAACAAGAGCTATTGTTATAAATAACAGGAGTTTTTCCAAACGTTAAATGAATATCCTTCCTCGTCAGAGTCATTTGAATGTCGACTCGACTTTGTATTAGCTAACATTAACAAGTCACGACAAGGCCTATCCTTTGATTACTGCCCTTTCGCAGTTTCGGGAAAAACTCAAAATATGTCTCTGATAGTTTCCCTAAAAGGGTTATCGAAGACGCTGATTACCAACACTTTCTTTAAAAGGGTTATCGAAGACGCTGATTACCAGAATATAGTTTAATTTAGTTTTTATCCTTATATCAGGATGTACCAAAAGTTCGTTCGCACCATTTTCAAAAATTCGTAACTTCTGCTTTTTTCAACCGATCTGCGAGTTTTCATTTTTATCTGAAAAAACAAGTCATTCTTTTCATAACCTTATCTTAACGGCATTCCAATGAGCATACACTGCATAGATATAAGCGTTGGAAGAAAATTACTCAAATTTTGAATTTTCTGGTAGGGTCATAAAATATCTGAAACTCACAATAAAAATCGGAGCAGACGGTATTATAGGTTCTGTCACCAACTCTTTTTAACTGTGCAAAGTCTGCGCTAATTGAGACTCTCTATGAATAGTTATGATTTTCGAGCAAGAAATGCAAAGGGTGAACTTGATTTATTTTGGCGTTTTTCAAGAAAATCGTAACTTTCCATAGTGGCGCTCAATCAGCGCAGACTTTGCATTGTTAGAAAGAGCTGGTGAAAGAACCTATAATACTCCGACTGCTCCGATTTTTACTGCAGATTTCAGATTTTTATGATTCTACACAGAAAATTCAAAATTCGAGTTATTTTTTTCTACCGTTTATATCTATGCAGCGTATGCTCATTGGAATGCCGCTAAGTTACCGCTATGAAGAGAATGGCTCCTTCAGATAAAAATGAAAATACGCAAATCGGTTGAAAAAGCAGAAGTTATGAATTTCTGAAAATGGTGCGAAAGAACTTTCGGTACAACCTAATACAAGGTGTCCGTAAAGTATGTATACACTGTTTGATCGTTAATATCTCTTTTCCCAAGAAGTCTTTTGCCTCGCTTTAGGTACCATTTTGTAGAGCTGGCTTCAACTTAGATTTGCAGCATAGAACGAATCGCCCATCTCTCTTCATTACTGTAGGATTACGGTAGAAACTTCAAAGAGGGTTTTGAGCCGTGAAAGGCCATATTTTACCTCAGAAAGGGAACAAAACAGCCTGAAAAATTTTACACTAGGCTAATTAGAGTTGCTGATTCTACCTGTAAAGTTTCCAACTTATTAAGATGCTTCATTGAAGAGTTATGCCAGGTAAAAAAAGCGGCCATTTTTTCAAGGTTCCTAAAAAGTGCGGTTACACCGTTTAGAAAGCTTCGTAATCTTGTGAGTAGTTGAGTATTGAACTCAGCATCCGTAAAAACCCTATTACACAAGTTTTCACATTTTTTTGAAAAATTTTGGAACGGCAGCTTTTTTCACATTGACACCATATGTTTCAAGTTTCTTCCGTAATCCTACAGTAATGAAGAGAGATGGGTGATTCGCTCCATACTGTAAATCTAAGTTGAAGCCAGCTCCACAAAAGGGTACCTGAAGCAAGGCAAAAGACTTCTTGGGAAAGGAGATATCAACGATCAAACAGTGTATACATACTTTACGGACACCCTGTATATAGCCCCCCGAATACGGCAATCATTCTGTAAGAATTTAACATCACGGAATTTCATGAAAAATTGTGTTTTGGGGTTATTTCACGTGCTGATCACAATTACAGTCCCATTTCGTTTACAACTGTCTCATAGTGGGGTTAGGACAGCACTACGGTAAAATTCTGGTAAGAATCAAGAAACTGGTGTAAGAAGACGATATTAGAACTTGGAGCTATCATTTTCGTAATCACCATACATAAACCCTTTATACGTAAGGTTTGAGCATTTTGGAGGAAAATCGAAATTTTTTGATGGCTTAACATCAGTTTCTTGCCCTTCCCGTATTTCTCCTGCATGTACACTTGAATATTTAGAAACAGCATCATTCTGCGAAGAATTTGAGCTAAAGTTTGTGCATTACCTCTATACGGTATACATACTCTGACATTACATTACAGTATCCCAAGCCCGGACCGCCCGGCTGCAGCTTCGTCTAGCTGTTCCCAATCCGTCAGAACCCCGTAAAATTCCATCGTAAACTGGCAAAGCTAGAGCTTGAGAAGTCTTACGTCCCACTGTCTGTCCGAAATGGCAGAACAAGTACGACCTACCGGTGGGTCGTACTGTCGAATTTGTTAAGAAACGAGTAAGCTACATATCTGCGGATTGTATTGTTGGCAAAAAAAGAGCTGCTATAAGAGAGATATATTAGGTTGTCTTGTATCTTTTCTTCTGCTTCAAATTACGAGATTCTGGATATTTTGCGATAAAGTAAAGTAAGCTTATCTAAAATACTGTAAATCAAGTAGTTTTCTTAATGACAGAGAGGCGTTGTGTACAAGAGAGAAACGGCGATCTTTATCACAATGTAGTGACACGGCCTTAAAAACGCGGGTATGCTAATTAGTTGCTTATAAAAGCAAATGTGATAGTTTCGGCTTCCAAGATTGTCAGAAAGCTTTTTTAGAGGTGACATTGTTTATTGTACCAAAGAAGAAAAATTCAGATAAAACGAACAGAGTGGTTTTGACCGAGGGTCGCGCCCGACATAGAGGTCGTACCCGTCACTAACTCGGTGGGAACCATTACTATAACATGCGGTTGTTCAAAAAATCTCATGTTTACACCAGTGAATTTATTATTTGGGCAGCGCTATTCTTCCAGCTGACTTTATTTCGGCCTTCACCAGTGTTCTAACAAACAACGATCACCATAAGTACACAGTAAGTAACATATTGGGCTGGTATCCAAGACCCAGCCCTTCCACTTACTCACGACACCGACTTCCTCCATATCCGATGTGTAAAGAACGTCCGCTAAAAATATTGTTTTTGCTAAGCATCTGAAAATTTGCAAAAAGAGAAAATAACACCAACTCACAGAGTTTATTCTTTACACGAATCTCCATTAGTGGCTTGGTAGCCCCGCACTTATACCCCTTAACACAGTAACCGACCTGTTCCAACTTATACCATCCCTGCCCTGACTTCATAATTACGTTGAGCTCTGAGACATAGGTGGTCATTCTCTGAGATTCTGAGAAGAATGCATTATCTCGTGCGCAATATACGTAAGAAATAGCACTTCACTTGTTTTCTTGTTGATCGCAGTATATAGCGGAACCAAAAAGGGGCAGTGGCGACGAAGCTCATGCTTTTGTTGGTTGTATAAATCAACAGTGATCATTCTGCCCAGAGGGCCTGATTGATACTATCATCTGTTGAGAAAACCAAACTTTTGAGTGACGGACCTTCTCCGTAGTATGTGTCGGAGAGGAATCTCGAAATTGGTCCCGGCTGGGTGTGATAGTGATGTGTTTGGTATTTTTTGCTGTAGAAAGATGCAAGTGAGACGTATAAGGTGAGAACCAGTCCTGAATTTGTGACCATAGGTTTGGGAACATTTCCGCTCAAAATGCCTCATAAAGAGCTGACAGTATTTCGCACTGATACTCTGTCTTTTTGTTGTAATCAAATCACCAATCATATGTCATTCTCTAAATGAAGGGCGAAAGTATGGCCCGTAGTAAACCCCCCATCAAGGCATCTCTCTAGACGCGGACCGGAGTTGAGGTCATCGCGCCTCAGTCCAACATACGGCGAGCTATTGATTTGGATGCGGATCACTGCCGAGGCATTGCAATCAAATGAGTACTTGAAAGAGAAGCACTAGAGCTGTTTTGGTCAAACGGGCAAGCGACTGAAATTACGCGCGCGCGGCCGTGGTTCGACTCCGTCTACCAACTCGCTTTTTGATGCATCGCCGGGCAATCTTTGATGCGGCCACTATGGCAATCGATGATGATCGCTATCAAGGACTTCGCCAAGCAAATACACGGATAAAACAAAAACACAATTTGTGACGAAAATTTTATGAAAAAACGAAATGACAGTAGCGTGTATTCAATGAAATGAATAAATGAGTTCTCTTCTTGTACAGCCAGTGAGGAAAAAATCAGTAAGATTTACAAAAAAGATAAGAATTTGTTTTTTTGTTTTCCTCGCCAAAATCAGCTGTTCATCGATCCTCTCCTTTTCGGGCGCGGTTGTGCAGTTTTGCGCCGATTTTTTCTGCATTTTTTGGCAAAGCTGTGTGTATCGTAAGTTACTCAGGAGCAACTTATGTTAGATGCAGTCAACTCTTGTCTGCGTCTCCTCTTTTACACGCTATTTGCATTCCTTTAACATCCGTTCACGTTCGCTTCAACTCACGTGAACGGATGTGGAACAGTTGACTGCAGCAGGTGGACAAATGGCCAACTATCAGTTGACTTGACCATCTTATAGCATGGGAGGTGGACGGTCATCAGTTCACTTCACCTAAGCTTAACAACTGATCAAGCTTTACTACGGGCCTATGTCTGCATTACTCACTTTTTCTTCATATTTGTCATGTTTGTGAGGTCTGAAATGTAGACTTTGAAATTGGAGAATAACTAGCAGCCTTTTATAAACTTTACATTAAAACCTACTTGCAACTGTTACAACATCGCTCGTTACAGCGTTTACCGCAATTAGATCCGCAGCTAGGTTTAGGTGGAGGAGGTGGAGGAGCAGGCCTTTCTAAAAGCTCATTGTTGACTTAACAGGTTCAGAACTAATGGTTGCCATATCCGCAATTAGCACTTGGTGAAGCAATCCCAGAATAATACTTAATATAATTTCAAAAATTGAAACAAACATTATGATAGAAACGTAGACAACTTTTTGGATACACTTTGGATTCGCTCAAAAAAATTGTTAATTTAGGCGATATGAACCAGTGGTAGGTCATGACTTTGATAATGCTAAGTAGAAATCGAAAAAATAGCCTTCGCAAAAGTGATGAAGGAGAATCACTAAAAAATTCGCACATAATCTTTTGCAAGAAAACCTTGTTTGTCTATCTAGTCTTTTTACCAAAAAGCGATGTATAAAGGTTTCTAAAAACCTCGCAAGGGGAGAGGGGTGGCTACTTGTATGAGGCGCCGCTGCGACCGATCGGACACAGATTCGATCTGCCCCTGGGCTGACTTGGTAATCGGCTGGCCTCCACAGGTCACTGTGATAGGCCCAAACGCATTTGGTAGCCTCTTCAACTATGAAGTAGAGTGCGTTCGTCGCGTGCGCACTTTATCCTTTTTATTTAAAAACATCGCATGACTTTACAACTCGATTTTTAGCCTGGTAAGTAGTTACAGATGCTTAGCTTCCTTTATCTTTGCAGTCCGAAGAGAATTGACACTTGACTCTCTCATGGTGCAAATACCAGGCTCATTAACTGCAGAGTCGAGTGCAAAAGCATTTTCGCTCCCGCGCGGCCGCCTCGCTTAGACCCTGCACCCTCAGACAGCGGATCGGACCCCTCCGGCGGAGAAATGGCAGGGCCGCGGGGTTTCCCCAGCGGTGGGTCTGCCATTCGTGCGCCGGAGCCCCCCGATTTTGTGCGCCGGAGCCCCCCGATTTTGTGCGCCGGAGCCCCCCGATTTTGTGCGCCGGAACCCCCGATTTTGTGCGCCGGAGCCCCCCGATTTTGTGCTCCGCAAGTCTGCTGCGGCATACTGTAATTAGCCCTAATTAAGCTCCAAACCCCAATTTTGTCTCTAAACCCACCCAAATTAGCCGAATAGGACCCCCCCCCCCCCCGGGTAGGAGTTCAGTGCGACCCTCACCCCCGTACTCTACCCCCTCCCTCTCACCCCTAGCGTTTGTGGATAGAAGATAGAAGAATGAAGAAACAAGACATTTATTTCAAATTAACTACAAAGAATCTCCTGCGAATTGCAACATTTTATGGTATTATTTTGCGATTGAGAGAATGTGCAAAGCTTGATGATTGACCTGTAGGGGTAAGAGCATTTCAGGGCCGCGGGGTTTCCCCAGCGGTGGGTCTGCCATTCGTGCGCCGGAGCCCCCCGATTTTGTGCGCCGGAGCCCCCCGATTTTGTGCGCCGGAGCCCCCCGATTTTGTGCGCCGGAACCCCCGATTTTGTGCGCCGGAGCCCCCCGATTTTGTGCTCCGCAAGTCTGCTGCGGCATACTGTAATTAGCCCTAATTAAGCTCCAAACCCCAATTTTGTCTCTAAACCCACCCAAATTAGCCGAATAGGACCCCCCCCCCCCGGGTAGGAGTTCAGTGCGACCCTCACCCCCGTACTCTACCCCCTCCCTCTCACCCCTAGCGTTTGTGGATAGAAGATAGAAGAATGAAGAAACAAGACATTTATTTCAAATTAACTACAAAGAATCTCCTGCGAATTGCAACATTTTATGGTATTATTTTGCGATTGAGAGAATGTGCAAAGCTTGATGATTGACCTGTAGGGGTAAGAGCATTTCTGAGCCTCTCGATCACTTCCACATCCCGAAATACTTTAGCAGGGCACGGCGATCTAATGGCTTCATCACATGCATCCAAGGCTATGACATCAGGTCTCTCCCCTAAATGCAAAAACTTTCATTTCACAGAAACATGAAAGTCTACCGCTCGTGCCACGTTTGCTAGCTTCTTTCAAGTACTCGAGACCATCTTGTACAATCACACGGTGATTTTCTTCTTCAATAACGCCAAACCATTTCCTTGCTGTTTCAACAACAACTGAATCTAACTCAATAGCAGTTATGTTAACCTAAAGTATGAAGAATGATGACACGATTATGACGCGATCTTATAAGGAAAAATTGGTTTCCGAATACACAATGAGAGGCAGAAACAGCAAGGATGAGAGCTCTGGTCGACTCGCTTTTGGTTTGAGCTTATGTAAAAACATATCAAAACTTCCGCCACCCAATCCAATTTTTAGCACTGTCTTGCTGAATTCGATGAATCAGTAGAAAAGGCTGACACTAGGAAGGGAGCCACTAGCATGCCAGCAACCTAAAATAGAGGAACATTGGAGGTGAGAAGCAACAAATCCTTCCATTAGTGCCAGCGGTCTTGATTGAGCGCAAGATTTAGTTAACAGAGTAAGTCCTGCCCGAAAGAGTGTTACAAAGAGTTGACCTTGAGATTTTCACTTGTTAGTTGTGGGCGAACTCAGATTTGGTAATGGCAATCAAAAACCCTGCAAAAAATGTGATGATGACGTGAACATCGTCAAGTATTCCTGCGCTCATCTGCAGGAACAGACAACTACAGGGCCTCTGCAAATTCAACCGACTACAAGAACTTCAAAATTGTATATAGTGACGCTTTATAACGACAAAAAATCATCCAAAAACTTCGGGAATCTCAATGAACGTCTTCTCGACTAGATAACCCTCACGGGAAAAAGAATAGGCAAGAAGACGGCTTGTTCCAGACCGGTCAAAAATGACACGCACAACCAGCTTCGCAGCCTACCTTTTAACAGATTATTTTGAATACTCAAATGTTCTAAACGCCCACATATTGAGATCGAATGTCGAGATGGTCTATTTGCCAAATCCTTGTATCGGAATCGTCGAAGAGTTCGCCTACAAATTCAAGGATGGTTTGACAAAAGGAAGCGTTTTAATGCGAACGTGCGGGTGATCAAGGCTGGTACATCTTACAGAGAGCAGGAAAACAGATGAAGCATCAGAGTACCATGAAGCTAGGTAAGGCTTTGGCCATACTTTATCCGTGTTATCAGTGTTACTCGTGTTACTGGTGTTACTACTGTTACCGCTTTTATGCTGTTGAATAGTGAAATGATTACAATACAGTCTCATTTAAAAATGCAATATCACTGACTGGTGAGCAACACGAGTCCATTAACATTAGTAACACGGGTATAACACGAGTAACACGAGTAACATGAGTAACACTTGTAACACCGGTAACGGGTAAAGTACGGTCAAAGACCAAGTGCAATCAATCAACGCAAACTTCCCACTACAGAGAACTGCTAGTAGCGGTTAACAAAGAGGACTGAGGTCACTGTGGGGATAACTGCGAGAAGCCTTGGATACCAGAGCCTGGAACAATTCCCTGATTTATTATGGACAAAAAATTCAACTCCAAACTATTGCCAGCGCTCCGCTCAAAAAATAGCGAGTTGAGGGGAGAAAGTGAATAAAAAGATCAGGTGAATTACCGCAACAATTACGCAATTACGCAACGGACTCCGCCTCAAATTTTAAGCCCAGATACTCAGATTTTGCACACTGAACTTACACACAATTTGCGCACTGAAGAAAAGCAATTAAATGATGAAAGCCAACCTTACCTCTAGAGCTATCAGTCGCACAGCAGTATCAGAATCTTCTGCGGACCCCTCCACGAACAGCTGACGCTCGACCACCTCTACAGTGCCTCTGAATCGCTAGTTTTTTTGTATGTCCATGCTTGGTTGTTTTGTCATAAAGCGAATGTATCAAACCAATTTTCTTTACTCAAAGTAGCTGCTATATTTTTGCAGCCCTGCAACAAACGGCCAGATAGCATCAAAACAAATCGCCTTCAGAAATTGGTAAAACTGATTAAATCATCCCCTGATGACTTCGATGACCAAAAAACTAGGAAGAGGATAATACTGATTCTGCCAAAAAAGCACATTAACGGTAAAGTTATCGAAAGTATGCACACAAGTTGAGGGATAGTACCATGATGCTACAGCCACTGTCAATAAAATCGCATGTAGTAGTTCTGATACACCGCTTGAACAATACAAAGAACGGCTCACTTTTTGCTGAGTTTTCTATAGAAGATATTGTAGCATCGAGCTGTTGTTTTTGTCATCTTGAAAAGTCTACACGTTTACCATGAATCTTGGAAGATACGTAGCAGATTAGGTAATGAATGACGCCGACTCTGAGCGCACATACACACTTGAACAGGCAATCCGCCGTGGAGCTCAAGCATGAACAAGTGCGAAACGAAAAAAGTAGACTCACTCGGATTATATACTTTTTGTTTCGAAAATCCAGAATTAATCGCAAAAACCACTCCATCAATAGTCAACGATGTCTCAGCAAGTCGAAAAGAGCCAAGCACTAGAAGTGACTAAGTGCATCCGCACGAAAATTTGAAACATAAACCTGAAAACGAGGAACTTACAACAACATAAAAGCCAACGCGACAAAGAGCAACGCGTAAAAGAAAAAAACGGTAAAGAAACGCGGAGAAACAACAAAATCAAAGAAACAACGACTAAAATACGAAGAAAGAGCGTAAACAGAGGACTCATCACCGTGGAGTTAGACGTTTGCTTGGCTACGCGCCAAATCGATACGCAGCCTGCTCCGGAGCCCTCCCTTTTGTGCTCGGCCCTCCCATTTGTGCTCCGGAGCCCTGCCATTTTCTGCACCGGAAGTGTCCCATTTTCTGCTCCGGGACTCTCCCATTTGTGCTCCGGAGACCTCCCATTTGTGCTCCGGACCCCTCCGATTTTCTGCTCCGCGGCCCTTCCAAATCTGGCGGACTCGCGGCGGGCAAATTTCTCCGGCGCGGCTCTGCCAAATCTGGCGTACCTCCGGAGCAGAAATGGCGTACCTTTGCAGCAGGGCCGGAGAAGGGTCCCACTCGCCTGCCAGTGATGTCACCGCGACCTACAAGAAGGGACCGCCCAATCGCCCCGCTCTCATTGGTCAACTGGGTCCGGCGCGACTCTGGCAGATTTCGACTGTCCGGCAGAGGGGTCCGATCGATTGTCTGAGCCTCTTCCAAGAACCTGCTCTCTTATCACTTTCCCACCACGAGCGTGGGAAAGGCGGAGATCCAATTGCTAACTAAGGCATGCGCCATACTTGATCCGCTTGATCCACTTGATCCGCTTCATCCACTTCGCTATTGGTCAAATCAGCAAGCTGACCAATAGCGAAGTGGATGAAGCGGATCAAGTATGGCGCGTGCCTAAGCGTACGAAAATGACTAAAGCGCATGCTGGCGAAAGAAGCGCTGAGTCCAGAAGGGGCGCCCACACAGGAGCGGAGATGCTGGTGCCACGACTCTGACTCTGCGAATGATAATCCCTGTATATAAATGATCGCTTACTTGTAGTAGTCGATTTTGAACGATGATGGCAATCATTTGACGGCAAACAAGGACAGGGAAGCTTGTTGGAGCATCTCAAAACAGTATTATCAAACGAATCTAATGAATTTAGACACAGACCCGGAATGATCACAGCAGGGCGAACATGCGACAGTTACGGCCAATGAACTCAAAGCGAAGAGCAGAAACTTCATTTACTCGTCCGGGAAATCTTTATAATCTCTACCTGTAGAATACTCAATTGTATGAATGCGTCGGAATATAAGTTAATGATGAAAATTTTTTGTGTGGAGCGACTGGGCTGAGTAATCCGTTAAATAAGTCGCACTGTTACCGTAGACCATTTTTTGCAGAGACACTGAGTTTCATCGATTTATTATTTAATTACTTACAATTAGATTTAGAGAAGTAAGAGCTTATCATTCGTTATCGAACTCCGCAGACATGTTTAGCGCGCTAAATTACATTAGACTTATATATTTTTCGCAGTGAGGAAGATGCTGTTTTGCCATATAGGTCGTCAAGGATAGGGTTCCTCCATACTATGCCGCAGGACGCAGAAGTCATCTTTTTCCTCAGCCTTATCTCACCAAAGGTTTAATGGTTCTTTATTCACTTTGAATTTGGGTGTTCTTGATTACAGTTGCAGCGGTAGAATTTGTCCAAAATTGTGGGATTGTCGGGATTCGCGGGATTCGCGGGATTCGCGGGATTTGCGGATTAGGCGGGATTTAGCTGTAACTTCTTCTAGAACAACTTTATATGAGATCTGCAAGAAGATTCGGCTTCAGAGATCTACCAATTGCACTGAGCAATAGAAGTAGAAAAGCCTGTAGATTACTCATAATGAGAGAAAGAGCGATAGAAATTCCGTTTCCTACAGTACTTTTCTCACCATACGCCAAAAATGATCCAAAAATGTGATATTATCAGTGACAAATGATCAAATGCTTATATCAGTGATAAGGGTAAATAAAAACTGCCCAATTTTTCGCGATAGTTTTCGATAATGAGAACTTCGTACCGGAACCTGCTATTCGCGATTTACGCTGTTATAAATGTTCACAAAAGCTTTACCATAGAAAATAACAAAGTATCACCATATGTCTACCATGTCACCATGAATTACGGACATACCATATACCAAAAGATTCGTCTCATCAATCTGAAGCCGGATCTTCTTGCAGGTCTCATATAAAGTTGTTCTAGAAGATGTTACAGCTAAATCCCGCTTATCCCGCAAATCCCACGAATCCCGCAAATCCCGCCGAGTCGCGAATTCCGCGAATCCCGACAATCCCTCAATTTTGGACAAATTCTACCGCTGCAACTGTACATCAAACTTGTTTCGCTTCAGTCATTCTCAATCAACGACTTCAACGCGCTATTCTAATTATTGGAGCATGTTCACGGCATTTTGCGGAGGCCACCGGCGCTGTGCGTAGTATGAAGGAACTCATAAAATACAAGCCCATCACAGGAGCATAGCAGAAATGAGTAAAGAACGAGGAAAAAACAGAGGAAGAGTGTCTTTTGCACTCTTCGCATTATATACAGGGTCAAAATTCCGGAAGCCAAGCACTTCGCTACTGCACCTCGATATCTAGAAGAGAAGTACTTGAGAACAAAAAATTTGGAGCATGCATGACTCCAACAGTCATGTGAAAACTTGGCGAGTGCAGTTGTCGTGACCTATAGCTTTCAAAGTCGTTCTGAAGTCGGTCACTTTTATACTGCACGCTGGTAACATTCGCAGGTTTTTGTATTCTGTTTACGCTTTCAGCGTATACAACCGTTGTAGCGTGACAGCGCAACTTCTCTACATTGTGTTTTTCATTTTGTTGTAGAATATTCTCCACATCTCTAGTGAAGGAATAAATTGTACGTACTGAAAGATCCCATCTTCCTGTTTTGCAGGAGGATCAGCGTGATAACTTCAGTCCTTACAGCGACATAGGACATTTGAGCTCGAAAAAGTTTATTTTGTAGAGAACGAGTGCAGCTCGTCGAGTGGCCCAAGCGAGGCGGCTGGCGAAGATTCAAGATGCGCTGACCGTGACGCTTAGGTTGAAATCCCCTCTATGTACGTATGTAGGTCCCAGTGTGTGCAAATATGTTAAGATGTAGGTTAGGTATACAAATTTTCTAAAGGGATCATATTCCTAGATTTTGTTTCTCTAAAAACAAGCCACTGCGAATATCGTCGGCATACTTCGACACTTCACTAGGGCCTGCTATTGATTTATAAATTTGTTTATCTAATCCTTAGAAAACAAAACCTTATCAATTAAACATGACTGTTTCCCCCACGATCACGTGGAAAGGCGGTAAAGCTTAATTACAGTTCGTTCCCCCAAAGTCTCACAGATAAGTCCTCCCATCAAATAAGCATGTTTTCTTCCCATTATAACTACCCTGAAATCTTGTCAGATAAGTCCGAATACTGTCAGATAAGTGGACCCATCTGTAGACGGACTTACCTGATGAAAGGACTTATCTTCAAGATTCTTGGCGGTGCCAGGGTGCATTTTCATCGATTTTCTTGTCAAAAAAGCGGATTTATTTGTAAGGTTTTAGGGTAAATTTACATTCCACGGTGAGGAGAATGTGCTGGCTCGAAAAGAGACTGAAAAAACCACACAAGCACTTTGGCAAGGATTTATGGAAGTGATAGGAAGAAAAAATGGGAAACGTTGTGGAAAACAAAAGAAATCAGACAAAGGGACCGTCATACTTCGCCGAAAAAAACCCAGAGGAGCCCGAAAAAGCCCGAAAATGCTCAAAAAAGCCCGAAAGAGTCGGAACCCAGAAATGAACTTTTGGTAGAATTCTGCCATTATTTCGATGTGCAGACGACCTAAAGTGAAGCAAAAAGGCTCGCTTGCGAAATCAGCACACATGCCTTAGCGTCAAAACGGAAGGAGCGTTCCGGCTCTTTCTGGCGCTTTTGGGCTTTTTTGGGCTTTTTCGGTTTTTTGGGTTGTTTTGGGCTTTTTTTCGGCGAAGTATGACGGGTCCCGTACACTCGTCTTCTGTTTCGGAAACAGAACCGGCGACGATGTCTAGCACTTCAAAGATGTTTTTAGGATGGGGAAACCACGGCGAGACAAAGGCTTCTTTTTGCGGCAATCTGCCTGGTCCTTTTAAAAGTTCATTGCTTTGCTGCCTCGTATCTAGGAGAAGGAGTTTTTTGATCAATATTGTATAAATTAGGCAAATATTAGGGTGAACGGTAAAAAATGGGACACCTTGAGAATAATTGCAGATTTCTCAAGGAAGAAAAGTGACTGAACTTTCCAATTTTGATGGATATTAGAATAAATTATTCTCTTTCAGATAGCACCTACATAAGGCCATTTATATGATTGATAATTTTTATACTTGCCAAAATGCAAAGTTAGTTACTTCGAGAAATTTTGAAGTTTGAGCAGTATCGGCGCAGTGAAACATGTGAGACCACCCAAAGTACCACTGCTGGAGAGGGTGGTGGGACAGTCACCAAACTCACGACGGCTTGATGGCTTTAACTCTTAATGTCAGGAGATATGCCCATTAACAGCTTCGGGAACAAAGATACGCGTTATTCAATTCGTTGCAGGTAAACACATGATTTCTATATATCATCTGATAGAGCTTTTTACGCTCTATCCATACATATGCAGCATACCTCAGATTTTACCTATCTTCGGAAAATATAGGGCAAAACATGATTTTTTGGTTTTTTGTTGCACTAAAAACGGCTACTT